CTCTCTCTCTCTCTCTCTCTCTCTCTCTCTCTCTCTCTCTCTCTCTCACACACACACACACACACACACACACACGCACCCCGGCCCGCTCCAACCTCCCTTGTCACACACCAGCCCACACCACGGACATCGCACATGGGCCACACGCCGCACACAGACATGACCAAAAATAAAAAATAAAAAACTCAGCAAAACCGACCTTCTTTTGGGGGGAAGTTAGGGTTCTCATGGAACTCCAGAGAGCAGTTTACGCTGGGTTGAAGTCGTTTCCACATCCTTCCAAAACTGCTGCCGCGCCTGAAAAATGCAAAATACCGTGAGATCCCATGAAACTCACTTTTTCATTTTGTGGAAGTAATGTGGGATACGACCCTAAGGGTCTCAGGTCTCATCCCACACTGCTTATGGTAAGGCAAAAGTGTGGTTTTCTCGGATCCAACCTGTTTCCGCCCATGTAGGAGGCTCCGCCAGCGGTGGAGGCAAGTGGAAACGTTTGCTGTCGTGTCGTCTCAGGAGGAACCAGCGGCGAAAAAGAGTATGGCCTTTGGGAAAGAAGCCGACCCGTACCCTCACCCCCAAAAAAAGGCCTTTTTTTTGTTGTTGGTCTGTTACTTTTTGCCCACCTCTTCCTCACCCCCTGTACACGTTCGCCCATGATTCCACCTTCCCGCCCTCCACGTGTCTCCTCTCTGCCAGACAGGTTTTTCAGGAGGGACTTCGTTTTAGTTCTTCATTTTCAATCGTTCAATCAATAAAGCATACAGGCAATCGATCAATCAATCCATCAAGATTGATTGATTGAATGATTGATTGAACTATGGATTGAAACATTACCTTGATTGTTTGATCAACCAAGATAATCAATCAATCTATATTGCGTTCGCCAACGACTGCCCTATGCATTCATTAAATCATTGATTGAGTGACAAAACAAAGCAAAAACTAGAAAAACCACCTCCAGGGTTGCCGTATCAGTCTTCTCTTAGATCCCCATGTGCAGCAACGCCCCCCACCCTTTCACCCCCTGCTTCCCCTGCCTTTCCCCTCCCCCCCAACCTCCTCTGCTGCTGCATGACCTCCGCCCACCTCTTCCTCACCCCCTGTACACGTTCGCCCATGATTCCACCTTCTCGCCCTACGTGTCCCCACTCTGCTAGACAGGTTTTTTAGGAAGGACTTCGTTTTAGTTTTTCATTTTCAATCGTTCAATCAATAAAGCATACAGGCAATCGATCAATCAATAAGTTAAATTCACCTAGTTCCAGCCGGATTCGATGTGATTCACCAGGTCGTGGGGTACCGACTGAGCCAGGACCGTTGGTAAAGAGTGCTGCTATTACCACAGTTGAATAAACAAATTGCAGGGGCGATGGTAAAGCGGGGAGAGGGGGAGTGGAGGGGAGGGCAGGGGAGGGGAAAGGACGGAAGGGGGCGGAGGGGGAGAAGCGCACAGTTAACGCCCTAGTCCTGTGAGCAACGAGCGGAACCCCAGCTCGGCGCGAATTGGAGTAGCGGCGGACGATTTCGTCGACAGTTCTTCTTCCTCTTTTTTTTTTTTTTTTCCTGAAGCATCTTAACAGCAAGCCTGGAATTTCGACGATGACAAGTGGACCATGACCCGGTTGAGATCTCGCACAATTGATCTCTCCAATCTAGTCTATATCTTCCAGAACAGAGAGTCAATATTTCATCAAAGATTCAAAGGCTTTTGTTTGATTAAAAAAGAGGTAAGGTTAAAAGGTGAGAGAATTTTATCATTTCCCGCTACACTGTCTCATAGTTCGGCCCTAAAACGAGTGACCAGGTACTCAAAATTTCCCATCGTTTTTTCATTAACTACGGTAGTGAAGAGTTCGACAGCGCTCGCCGAGATTCGATGCCAAAAAATAATTGCCGGTCAAATCAATCACCATTAGAAATCAAACATAACTATTCCTGCCCTTCGAGACATCCGTTAGAACTGGAACGATAACGAGAGAGAAGACTAGCATGGCGCCTGCGCAGCGATGGCACGTGTCATGAATCGAGAAACGATCAAGTAGAGCTCATGAGCAACAAGATAGAGAGCTAAAGCGGAAACTTTCCCTTGATTGCATTCGCACATTTCCCGAAAGAGAAAGTCTCACACTAGCATTCACACACGAAACAAGAGTTTGGACTTATTCGAGGGAGGGAGGAGCTCCCACGTCCCCGGATCCAAATCCTTCCTGACCCTAGATTACAGAGATGAACGGCTAGAAATGAATGCGGGCAAAGAAGTGGGACTCGGGCCCGGAAACCATTGGGAGAAGATGCGTCCAGGAGAAACCCAGCTGGAGTAGGTCGCCATCGGAGCTCATCTCAGTTCTTGCGTGTTTCTCCTCCCTGCAGCCGCCTGGATGACAGTCGGACGAAGTGCAGCCGTGCAAGTCTACTTCCGTTAACGATGGGATGGCAACGCGAGAGAACATCACACCCCCACACCAGACTCGTCGAAAACATTCTCTCTACATTTGTTTCTGGGAATCGGCCTGGACCGGTTGGTTGCAAATCTCTCTCTCTCTCTCTCTCTCTCTCTCTCTCTCTCTCTCTCTCTCTCTCTCTCTCTCTCTCTCTCTCT